TTTATAAAATCATGAGGGGCATAGATAAGTTGAATGACAGGTGTCTTTTCCCTAGATTGGGGGATTTCGAGACTAAGGGGCATATTTTTAAGGTGAGAGGAGAAAAGTTTAAAAAAAACACGAGGGGCAATTTTTTTTATACAGAGTGGTTCATGTGTGGAATGAACTTACAGCGAAAGTGATGAAAGCGAGTACAGTTACAATGTTTAAAAGGCATTTGGATAAGTTCATGAATAGGAAAGGTTGGGAGGGATATGGGTTAAGCACAGGCAGATGAGACTGGTTTAGTTTGGGATTATAGTCATCGTGGACTGGTTGGACCGAAGGGTCTGTTTCCATGCTGTATGACTGTAAGTCTCAGAAGCTACCAGGAATGTAGGGCTTGTGCAGTGAGACGAGAGAAGTTATCGCTGTTCAAGACAGCTCAGAGAGGGTTAAGAGAAAATGGAATATAGGTGTTCAAAATTCTGAAAGCTCTTGATGTAGTCAGTGCAGAAAAACCACGCAACAGACAGGCACAAATTTAAGTCTATTGATGAGAGAACCAGAGGCAGGATCAATTTCTACATATTGAGTTATTGTGACCTGTAATGCCTTTCAAGAAAGGGTGGTGAAAGTATATCTGGAACAACTTTGAAAAGGGAGTTAAAGATTCACATAAATTGATGAGGTCTATATTGACTGGAGTATAAAGGAATAGAGAACAATGGAGGGCAGTTTGTGCTGGTGGAGCTCAGAAATCTTAATTGTTTTCAAGAAGAGTTAGGTATAATTCTTAGGGTTAAAAGGATCAAAAAGAATGGGTAGAAGTTGGAACAGGGTACTGGATTCCTAGAAGGCCTTTGACAAGGTGTCACATAGGAGACTGCTAAATAAGTTAAGAGCCCATGGTGTTAGGGCAAGGCACTGGCATGATTTGAGGATTGGCTAACTAGCAGAGGTGGAGAGTAGGGATAAAGGGATCTTTTTCAGGATGGCTACCAGTGACTAGCAGAGTTCGCAGATGTCAGTGTTGGGACCACAACTATTCACATTATACAATAACGATCTGGATGAAGGATCTGAGGGCATTGTTGCTGAGTTTGCAGATAAGACATGTTGAGGAAATGGGCGTGCAGGATTGCAGAAGGGTTTGGACAGCCTAGGAGAATGGGCAAAGAACTGGCAGATGAAATACAATATGGGAAATTGTGAGGTAGGAAAAATAGAGACATAGACTATTTTCTAAATGGGGAAAGGCTTTGGAAATGTGTAGCACAGAGGGACTTATGAGTCTTAGTTCACTGGCTTGTAATTTCATCGATTATCCCTGTAAGTCAGGAGTGTGACAGAAAACTCTTCACTTGCCTAGATGAGTGAATCTCCAATAACTTGAGAAGCTTGACACTAATGAGGAAAAACAACCCATGAATTAGAATCTGGGAACTCAGTGTTAGTACTCAACAACTGACTCCTTAGGTCCTGTCCACCACCTACAAGGCATAAAGAACAAAGAACAATATGGCACACAAACAGTTCTCTCGGCCCACCAAGACTGCACCGATGCATGATGCCTTTCTAAACTAAAAGCCTTTTGCCTCTACACTGTCCATATTCCTCTATTCCCTACCTATTCATACATCTGTCAAGATGTCTCTTAGATGTTGCTGTTGTATCATACAATTACCACTTCTGGCAGGGTATTCTAGGCACTTGCCACCCACTATGTTTAAAAAAAAAGCAATCTGCTTGATTCCACCAACCTAAGCATTCACTCCCTCAACCACCGACTCAAACCGTTCACCCTGTGTATTAATATAAAATATACTGCAGTAACTCATCAAGTCACCTTCAACAGCACTTACAAGCATGCAGCCTTCATCTCCAAGCTGGACAAGAACAGTGGATACATGGGGACACCACCACCAGCAAATTCCCCTCCAAGCCACACTCAATCCTGACTTGGAAAAATACAATATAATGGAGACAATGGCCTTATGGTATTATTGCTGGACTGTTAATCCAGAGACCCAGCTCATGTTCTGGGGATCTAGGTTCAATTCTTGCCACAGCAGACAGTGGAATTTCAAACCAATTTTGAAAAAAATCTGGAATTATTGCCTAATGATGACCACAAATCCATTGTCAATTGTCAGGAAAAACCCTCTGGTTCACTAATGTCCTCTAGGGAAAGAAACTGCCATCCTTACCTGGCCTGGCCTACATGTGACTCCAGATCCACAGCAATGTGGTTGACTTTTAACTGCCTTCTGGGCAATTAGGAATGGGCAAATAAATGCTGGGACTAGCGATGCCCTCATCCTAAGAACAAATAAAGAAAAATCACTGTACCTTAATTATCACTGGGTTAAAATCTTGGAATTCCCTCCCTAACAGCAGTGTGGGTATGCCTAAGCCACATGAACTGCAACACTTCAAGAAGTCAGCTCACCACCACCAAAGACAGTTAGTTAGGTGTGGGCAATGAAGGCTGACCTAACCAACAGCACCTAAATCTCATAAATTAATGTTTAATACCAGCATTCTCGAAGTGCACTGGGACTGAACTAAAGGATGTAGGACCACTGGAAGATCACACACACAATGTTTCAACGTCAATATGAGTCAGCAGTTTAAGATCATAATTTGCCATTATTCATTCTCCTAGACTGACTGTTATCCACTCCTTTGTCTATCTAATTGTTCTTTTCTTTCTTTGGGCTTTGTCTCAACATATTATTTAATCCTTACCCCTTCCTCCCACCCCATTTTCTGTATAGAAACTAACCTTTTCCTAGTTACCATCAGTTCTGAAGAAGTATCACTGGACCTGAAACATTAATTATGATTTGTCTCCACACATGCTGCCAGGCCTGCTGAGCTTTCCCAGCAACTTCTATTTTTTCATCAGAATTTCCCAATTCATGGGAGCCTAAAAGCTTTGTAATTAATGGGAAGATGTTTGGTCCTTTCATACTGCTGGCAAGCAACTTTGTTCCATGATGAGCTCCCATATGCAGATGAGGATTCCACTGAACCCCATTTGTTATCCCCAGTATCTATGTAAGGCTGAGCCTGAATATTTTGGCAGTGTCAGTGACAGATCAGAGGACAAACAGACACCCAACTCCCACTTCTACTTGTGCATCACCAGTCAGGCCAGGAAAAAGAAACACTTCACTGTTGAATTTATGCGAACCTTGCAGGAGTAATATTTTCTAGTCTTTACTATTTAAAACAAAATTAAAACAAGAAATACCACTCCTTACTTAATCTTTGCTCTAAATAAATGAACTGATTAACTTGTGCACCTCTAAACCCTCTGCAGAACTGACATAAGAATTTTGGATTATTTGAAAGGACACATGAAGTAGCAGTCATATGGGATAATGTCAAGTTTTATTGTATTGCCAATGCAAGAGTAATTAACAAATTTGTTTTCATATTTTAGGAGTCCCAAATATAACATTGAGGTGCAAAAACAAAGTTGCTGGAAAAGCTCAGCAGGTCTGGCAGCATCTGTGAAGGAAAAAA